TGCTTCCAAACACCTGTACCCGTAATAAAAGACGAAAAAATTGTGAAGGATCAAGATGGCGGTCTCAAAGTGCCCTTGTTCGACCTTTACCAATGCCATGTTTAAATAGATGGCAAGATCTCATTGGTTCCTAAGCATCAACTCATAGTACCTTCAACCTTATTGGCTCTTGCAACAAACATCCCAACATACAAAGTCACAAAGATACATACGCTCACACCACTGACATATGAGCTATTTTTTCAAAATAGCTCAATAAAAGTGACTCACTGTCTCTTACTTTACCACGACAAAATCGTGAAAAACCGATAAAGACCGTCGGTAATCTGTTGTAAATCGTGCTAATCCTTATGTTTGTCAACATTAATCGTGTTCGATTTCCTAGAATGAAAAAAAAAAACAATCTATATACATAAAATATCGCTACCAATGATCTATAAAGGCACCGATACAGTTCTTAAATATAGCGCCGACCCCACGAAAGATAGAGACTCAGAGGAGAAATATTATATATTTAGGAGGAAGTAAGGGTACGTGGTGCCAAAACCGGTGTTTCACAATCACACAGAAAAAACAAATTACCAATTGAAACTTCCACTAAGTATCTCCTGTTAAGTGAGACAAAATAACAGTAGAAAGTGGCGTTCTTTCTCACCTGCTTTCGAACTGTTTTGTCCGTTCCTATTCTGTCTAAAATGCCTTTTCCTTTCATTATTATACATTATAAATGCATTTTCTCGCTAAAAAGTCATTTCTCTTTTGCCCGTTTTTCCATTTATTGCCGACGAGGCAACCGAGCTAAGAAGCGAGGTTGCCTCGGCGGCAGATTTATAATCCCGTACGATGTAGGCAAAACCTCTCAAATTCTGCGTAACCATCTAAAATTTGCATTTTTGACCATATTTGGGTGTAAGTAAGACCCCTAATTTGGGTAGTGACGTCATGGTCTTGTATTTACAACGCGTGGTCCGAAAATTGGGTGATTCAGTGTGCAGCTCTGGTGCAGCTGTTCGTTGTCTGTTCAAGAGGCCCTAACAGGTGAGCAAGCTTTAATACGATTTGTCGTTTGAAAGAGCTATTAGTGCTCTGGTCTGCTTTATAAATTGCGTTTAAAACAGCAGCTGATCAAGGAGTAGGGTTTTACGCTCAAATTTTTGTCAGAACCAGCTTGTTCTTTGCAGCTCCATTTACAATGAGGCAGCGTGTTCGCTTCTCGACTCAGAACCAGGGTTTTCCGTGTTCTCTTTTCGTTTGTGAATTGAATTTGAAGCGGTAGTTGATCAAGGCAATAGGGTTATATTCTCAAAACTTATATCAGAACCAGCGTGTTCTTCGCAGGTCGATTTACATTGAGCCAAACTTCACCTCCCGTGAGGAATGCAACGTATTTGCGGATCTTTTTTTAGAATTTATTCATGTCTTTAGATTTTGTCAACCAGCATGTTTTTTTGCAGCTCTATTTACATTGAGACAGCCCAAAACTCCCGTGAGGAATACAACGAACTTGCGAACCTTTTGTTTTGAAGACTATCATAATTATGCCTTTCAAGAGAATCTTTGTCCTGTGACACTCGCTCATTAGATCTTTGTATTTTATTCAAGTTCATATTTTTATACCTCTGATACATTCCGCCCCATTCTTGCGCTTTTCACACAGTTTACTTTACACCAATTTTTTCTTATGTATATTACTACACGAAATATATATTTTTTTATCCCCGATGACACTGTTGCTCGGAATTTAATTATTATTTTCAATTTCAGCAGTCAAAGACCTTATTTGAACTATATTTTTCTTTCTAACGTTTATAGTTTTGATACAATGGAATTTTCCATGAAACATAAGTGCTAACTTGGTCATGATTTACCAACAAAGCTTCAGGCTATGTTGTTATTGTTTAATAAAAGTGAAAGCCTAGAGTGTGCCAAAGTTGTTGTTTTGAAGTTGTGT